TCTTAATATTTACGGCAACAGCGACTGCGGCGTATTGCCATCGAATGTCCTCGGACAAACCAACAGTTTTAATTAACAAGCCCTCGGAAACGACAATGGTTTTAACGTTCAGACTTCCAATGTCTTTATTCGCTGCGCAGTTAGTGGCCAGTAGGAGGAGGTACACATCTACAAAGTCATTTTATATGAAAATGTAGAAAACGGCGATTCGGGTAAAAATCGTTTGCGTTTTCCACATTTTCATTTCTCGTATGCCCGTGCCGCTCTCGATACGGCGCGCACGATGATATTGGAACGAAACGAGCGGCGTGATATTTATATAATATAGAACGTTCTACGCCGCTCTCTTTGCCGCGTACCATAGCGGAACGTCGTCGTCGTCGTCGTAAATAACGAAGCGGATGGCGGCGGCGGCGTTTCTAATGCAGCTGATAATAATAATATTGCGAGTAAATTTTTTTAAAAAAATAAAGTATTCTCAGAACTCAAACTTCGCGATTTAAAGACGATTTACCTACATTTATTGTATGCGATTGCGGTCGATCGTCGTCGTGTATCGAGACTATTAAGAGGACGCTACACCCGCATGTGTTGTCTCCGTCTTACACACGTACGACATAGACAAAACGCGTTTAGGCAGTCTGAGTATAACTCGCTCAATTTTGGTTCTAGAGTAAAAATACCTATTATGAAATTGAATTGTGATAATATTTCTAAGGGCAAGACGCTGCGGTTTTTTTAAAAAATTTAATTTTTTAAAAGTCAAAGGTATTTTAAAAATGGTGAAATTTTTTCTATTTCTAAACGATATAATGAACGTTATATTGGGTATAATGGAAAAACCGCAGCGTCTTGCCCTTAGAAATATTATCACAATTCAATTTCATAATAGGCATTTTTACTCTAGAACCAAAATTGAGCGAGTTATACTCAGACTGCCTAAACGCGTTTTGTCTATGTCGTACGTGTGTAAGACGGAGACAACACATGCGGGTATAGCGTCCTCTTAAAGAAGAAAACAATTCGATTGAAAATATTGTACAACCGATTCCGGAGGAAGTAACGAAATTTCTATAAGTTTATCGATACACACATGATATTATGGCTTATTCCTTATTATTATTACAACAGTGTAGTGGACATCATACCACCCACCACTATGTTCACAAAACGTACATACTAGGTAATAATTAAGTATTAAAATAATGCACGTCGAAGGCGATTTTTTTTTGCTTTAACTCCCACCCATCGGCGCATTCAGCACCTAAGTTGAAAGTTGCCTTGTGTACGTAAAATGGAAACATCAAATTATAAAATATTTAAATATACGTTGCTGATTATAGAACCTTATAGACGTACACGTATTAAATAGAAGTAAAAAAATTAAAAAAAAACCCAGTGATTATTGTTGTTGTTATTTGTTGGTCACAACAATAAGGCATCATTGCACGGTACACGATAAAAACGTACATATACTTCGCTTTGCGCGACACGATTGGACCTACTGACGATTAAACGATGGCTTATCGGTGGGAAATTGGGCGGGAAAAACTATCAGTATTGTCCGATATTCCCGCAGGGCATGGCGTCGGGAAATTCCGGCGGCGATTGCGATCGTGAGCACGCGGGTCGTCACGTATAGACGAGGGGGCGCCGCGGCCGGGTGGTTATACAAACGTATTATTTGTTATGTGCGTCAGCGTCACATGAGAGACGTACGCGGCGGATGACTCATGCGTTTTCCTTGCGACAGATTTTGTCGCGTTTGTGACCGACCCGCGAGGGTGAGCCACGATTCGGGGACGCGGCGGCAAAACGGTTCACCCGCGGTGATCCGTCACCCTCATTTCCATGGCTGATTATTCTCGTTTTTGCGCCCGCGATAATAATGCAATATAATATATTATTATATTATCATAATAAAAGACTTTTCATTTTTCTACAGGAATACTGTAAGAAAAAGTTAACTTTTCCCGTTTCTAAGGCGCAACCGATTCAGCGCATCGTGTATTCTGTACATTATATAATAATATTACGGTATCATAATATCATAATATTTAAATATTTTAATAATATTATTATGTACGACCGAAACGCGTTGGTCGCGTGCGATATCGCAACGCGCAAGGTGGAGCTAGACTCTCGCCATATGTAATATATTATTATTATTATGTAGTTTTTCGAATCCGTCGAAAAATGTGTTAATCGCGCGCTTTTTTTTTCTCTCTTAGTAACAAATTCCGAAGGGCATCGCAGCCGTGCCGCGTCCAGCACCAATGCCGCGGCGACCGCCACGCTCACGAGTTTACGTGCATAATATGCGCGTTATTATTACGGACATTCCGTGTCGGGCTCGCAAGTGTGTGCGTACGCCGTGCGGTGTGCGCGCGCACCACCGATGAAGGCAGCGGCGGCGGCAGCACCGACGACTAATACGCAGCGACGGTGGTAATGGTATGGTATAATGCCGAGGACTCGTTTTGGTCGTACGCCGCCGCCGCCAGTCGGTCGGCCGCCGCCGTTACCCTCCCGCCCGCCAGCCCATCACGGCTTTGTACATTGCCACGGCGGACGCCGCTTTGCAATCGGTGGCGGCGGCAATGACGGCGGCGGCAACGAATGCTGCGACTGTATACGACTACGGCGACGACGACGACGATGGCGGCGGCGGCGAACTCCGTTTTTACAAAACAACCAGCTATATTATAATATGGTCGGCGGCCTTCCCGCGCCGCCCGTACGCCAACGCCGCTGCCGCCGCCGCTCCACACACAACAACACTACCGACAGTGTTGCCGACACCGACCTCTCTCGTCGTCGCTGGCTTACAAGCTTTAATAATAATAATAATAATAATAATAAGGAGAAGAAGAAGAAGAACATTATTATGATAATGACGACGACGATGACGATGACGACGTAGTCCTTAAATAAAATAAATATATATTATATTATTATTCGTAGGAATATCATTCGTCTCTCTTTATTTTAATTTTTTTAAGAATTTTTAGTAAAAATTCGAACGGCGCGATAAATAATGCTCTGCGAAAAAAATTGTTTCGTAATACATACATAGTACATGCAAACGCGTCTAATACGCGTACGCACTCGTTTATTTTACATAACTTTATTATATTATTATTATGTGCATATTTATATATAATAATATATAATATGAATACATGTGCAACGATAGTGCAACGCGTACGTCATATAGTATAATATTATAATAATTGTTGTTCGGTTGTAAAGGTGATTGGGATCGGTATAATATTATAATGGCGATGGAGAAAAAATATGTGTAACGTTATGGGAACAAAGTACGCGCGATAGTAATAATAATAATAGTTATAGTAATGATAATAAAAATAAAAATTGAATAGAAAAACGAAAAAACGTTTTCGCGCGAAAGATAACAACGTGCAGAGTGCCTTGCAGAATATATTTTAATCACATTATCAAACGCGATAAATCCTGTCGAGATTCGTTTGGACTGGGTTGAAAATGAGGGCGATGATATTTTTACGTTTATTTTTTTGAAAATAAGCGGGCTTTTCATGGACAGTAGTGAGACATAATAGTATTACTATAACTATTATTATCTCGTCACTACAACCACGGCGCACCTAACGGCAGGCCTCATTGCCAGCAGTGCAGGCAACTAGTAATGTGCGCTAGCGCGCGTGCGTGTGTGAGTGTCAGTTTGTATGTGCATGTGAATTTGTGTGTGTGTGTGTGTGTGTGTGTGTGTGTGTGTGAATTAAAAAATGCAGTAAACCGACACACAAAATCCCCGCCGTCGTCTGCTTGTCCTTATTTTGTACACGACGACGACGTAAATACAGTAATACACATTATACATATCTTTCGGCGGCAAACTCGACTTATTATCAGTGACACTAAAAAAAAAACCACGGTACACTCCGACCTACTACTACTACGTTGTTGATCATGCAAAATCGTAAACAAAACGAAATTGATAGTAAAATCCTCTTCTAGTTTTGTTTTAAAAATCGGTGTCAAGACAAAAATTGTCACTCCACTCTATGCTAGGTTATGCTATTGTCTTACAATAGAGACCACGGTTCGTGTAAGGCCATGGGAAAAATGATAAAACGTAGAAAGATAAAAATTAATTTCTCGCTCGCGCACTCGTGTATACAATAATAATAATGATAATAATTGTTATCATTATAGCGATATAATAATACAAAATATTACATGTTTTTTTATGTATCGGTCATAGGACTCTTGTTTCCGCTTTGTCGGTTATTTTAATTTCCAGCGAAACAATAACGTGCAAAAAGTATATGTGTTGTATTTTATTCTGCAAAACCTAGCTGGGACGTTCATGGAAAACCATTTCGGTTCAGTAAATAATGACTTATTTCGTGAATATATACGTATTTTGTATATCTATTTGCCCCGACCTTTAGGTTTATTTTTGTCTCCTGAATATGAAACAATTAAAAATAAACTTTTACGTTCGGGACTTCGGGTTATAACGTCTTTTCCTCAAGTGATAAAACATAATAGGTGTGAATTTCTTTTACGGTAATACGTGTGAGTATGCATTTTAGCCATATTGTGATTAGGTTATTTTAATATTTTAAAACATTTAAACATGGCCACCTAGAAATGATATTTTATCTCGTGTATGGCGCATATTATAATGTATAGTTTGGTCGTCGACGAAGTAACCGAAGGCTGTTACGGAGATTCTTCGTGGTGCATGATAGTGGAGGCGTAGGCTTGACCGGGAATCGGTAGGTGGTAATAGAAATGGTGATAGTGTAGTAGTAGTATTAGTAGTAGTAATAGTAGTAGGTATAGTAGTAGTAATAATAATGGTACGATATGACCGGGGGAGTTGACGGTGAGGCGGCAGGAAAACCAGGTGTACACATTATACTCGCGTATAATATTATAATTGGTAGTCGGTGGTGGTGGGTGAGCAGCAAAGAGTGGTGGGCGCGCGGTGGAACCGATGGGAAAAGGGAATGGTGCTACGACGGCGGCCGACCTCGGTCGGGCGTTATTCGCGCAGTAGGTATGTGGAGAATCCTAAAGCTATCACGCTTCGGTCGGAACTTCGGCAGAAAACTTTCAACCGAAGCCAAACCGGTCGAGGCGACCACTGCCGACACCACCGAAGCGAGGTTTTGCGACTCATCGTCGTGACGATGGACAAAACAACCATAAGCCGAGATATCCAAAGACAAATTGAATTTGAAATAATTGTAACTGTTGGACTCGCGTCTGATTCAGCTCTAAGACGGGTGCAAGACAAGACGTATCCGTTAAGTCAAAGTCGAAGCGATACGATTCCAAAGTGTTTTGTCGTCGTGGCAATGCTCGCATAGTTTCTCCTGAGCACGTGCATTCGAATTTCGAATGCCGTCATCGATAAACGCATAATATTATTACACACCCAACTTGCGTTTAGAATGTAGATAAAACCTACGGTAGAATAGTGTACTATACTCCGAAAGTGTAATAGACAATAGCGAAATCTTGAGAGATAAGAAGAAAAAAAACAAGAATCAGCGTTAAGCGTCTCTGGTGCGCATGCGCTTATACACAAGTTGCACGTGGTGATAAAGTATAGCATGTATGGTATCGTCACCGTACTATAAACCACACACATACATACATTATTACAATATATATAATTCAATGCGACGCGATACCGCCGTTTTTGGTTCGGCCTTTGGATGCGGCGACGGCGAGAGCGCGCTGTTGGCCAAGCTTGTTTAGATATTATAAAAATATGCGAGCGGTCGGTGTGGTGATGGTGTGATCCGTATAGTGCGGTGGTGGAGTAGTCGGGTAAGCAGTATATAGTAACGGTACGGTGTCGCTGGTAGTGGGGAGGAGTGCGCGGACGACGATATCGCGACTAGTGGGCCGGCGGTGATGGCCGACGGTGTAGTCGGGGCGGCGCGGGCGAGAGGTGGAATATATATTATACACATATATTATAGAGTATATAGTTATAGCGCGTGCGTGTGTGCGTGTGCGTTTGTGCATTGGTATAAGCAGAGGAAGCAGGAGTATAATACGTCGGAGGTGGGTGGTGCCGGGGCAGTGGGTGAGCGCTGGCAGCGCGGCGGCCGTGGTGGCAGCGGTGGCGGGGGTAACAGCAACAGCAAAGGAGCGTCGTCAACAACAGCGACGGCGGCGGCAGTGTTATTCACGAGTAACGCGCCGTAGCGTTTCGTAGCCTGCCACTGCACGTCCAGCTCGTCCGAGCACACTCGAACACGTCCCGCCGATTGCGCGCGCTATATTATTAATTCGTGTGGTACAGCACACGATTATTTATCGCGATTAATTTTTTTTCGAGTCCACTCCGTTCCGTCGGTAGAGAAAAAAAATAAATATTTTTCCCGTCATCAAAACGAATCGCGTTTGCGATACTATTTACATTTCTCCCGATCAGTCATCGACGACCGGCGGGGGCCCGTCCGTTAATCCCGTAGTGATCATAATATTATTATAATATTATAATAATATACACTGTCTACCGCGGTATCATTCATTATCATTATCGTTACTATTATCAGCCGAACGACGTTCGACCAGGGCTACACACACGTTTGTCCGTCCGTCCGTCCTTCATTCACGACGGAGTTTCACGCAGACGCCCGGTGGACGGAAACCACTGTCATCGCAGGCGTTGGAAGTATATGATGTTGGCCCGGCGCCGCAGACGCCGATACCGACGTGACAACGCCACAGCGACTGTAAGGAAGACAGTGACCAGTGGATCAGCAGTAGTAGCGAAAGCGTCAGCGACATCGACATCGACAGTAGCAGCAGCGTTCAGAGACATCAACAACAGCAGCGACCGCACATCAGTGACTTCGAGCAAACATGACGACGACCGTAGGTCTGCTGTCGCCTTTGTTGCCACCGACCGCGGTGACCGCTGCCGTAGCCGAAGAGCACCAGCAACAGGATTACTATTACGTGCCGCAGCCGCAGCCCACTCGCGTCGTACGCATGAAAATGTGGAGTGACGACGACGACGAAAATAATTATTGCGCCGACGACAATTCGACGGTGAGCATAAAATAATATTATTATTTATTACGATTGTTATTATAGTTATTAATAATATTATAATGGTTAAGAATTCCGTTAGTACTTATATAATATTGTCGTTAAGACGGGTGCACCGTAATATATTTATTTGTACTCGTTTGTGTGGCCGGCAAGGGTTATTGTCGTGTTAAAAAGTGGGTGCAAAAAAACAACACAAAGGGTTGACGTGAAACAAGTGGCTGGAAGTAAAGAGGCTCGTGCGCGAAAGCGACCCGCACGATTCAAAGTTCCCGCCAACCGTCGTCGACGTCGCCGCCGACTGCTCCACCACCGCCTCCTCTTCCGACGCCGTCACCGTCGCGGGGTTGACGGCGGCGGCGGCGGCGACGACGGTTCGCGTGGAAAAACATGTGCGTGATGATAACGACGTCTCTTTCTTCCTTTTACGTTTTATCGTACGGGTGATAACTCGTTGACGTTGTTTGGCATTTATCCGCGCACCAGCTTTTTTCTGTTTTCGCCAAAATCTTTTTGACGTCGGTGGGGTTACAGTTTACGCGTCTTACACGACGTTAAAGTATCTGTACGTATGTGTATAATATATTTTGCTGTTCGGCTGGGTTTTATTTTTACTTAATAATGCATTGTAATATAATATAATTATGTACCTAATATAAATATTTTATTTTTAATATTATGTAGACATCGATTTTCCGATATTTCTTTTGATGCGTATAAAAAACAAAAGTGTGTCACGTATCAAGAGATAATATCGGAATCGATCGATTTTTAAATCGCAACGTCGAATGTCGGTAGGTACCTATCGCGCGGGGTCGTTATGACACGGCAGCGGTGGTCAATGGTTTTAACGATTTTGCGCGACGACCAAATGGGTGCGCGGGACGGGTAGGTCCGAGTCTGGGTGATTATTAATTAACGGCGGATCGATGATGTGGGACACTCCTCCGTCTGTGGCCGCCGGAATATCTTTTTATCTCGTACCGTATTATTGATATTATTATAATTTATAACTATGATTACACGAGTGTCGACTATAATTTCAAAATATTATGTTATTATTGTACCTAAGTGATGTTCGTTGTTATTGTTATTGTTATTGTTGTTGTTGTTGTTGTCGCCGTAATTGTAGTTGTACTTTTTGCGGTGGTGGTAAATGGTGGTGGTACTCGTGTTATAGTGGTAGTAGAACGGCAAATTTAGAAAGCAACGTAGTACGACGCGGCGCGTAGGTTGATACCGTGGCGGTGGGGAGGAAGAAGTATGTGGAGAAAGTGTGTTAATGACACGCCACCGTCGTCGACGCTATAACATTTTAATAATACATTATTGTAACGAATAATAATAATATTGGACATGGACTAGTTGGTTACTCGTTGCAAAAATACGACTAGAATATTCGATGTAAACATTTTAACACGGCGCGTATCACCACCACGGTTTCGTCAAGACGTGTTCGAGACTGGGAATCACCAATGAGCCTTTATTACTATTATTATTATTATCCAGCACACAATAAAATACTGTTGTCGAAGACGAGCTATTTTATTTACGTTTGTAGGGCCTTTATGTTATATAATATACACGTTAATTTGATCGGGTTTCTCTGGTTTGGGGAGGGGGAGTATAATAGTAATAAAGATCGAAAATACAATTTGATTATGTAATTACGTTCGTTAAGGCTGTGTAAGACTGTGCACCTATGGCGCGAGGGGACCGTAACCGTCGGCGGGAAAGGGTGTGTATTCACCCCCCCCCCTCCCGTAAAACCCGTCCCTTGCACTGACGCGCCACCGCCACCGCCTCCTCCATCGACGTCCGATAATAATAATAATATATAATATCAAAACGGACGTTTCATAGAAATATATAGGTGTGCGTTTCGCTCTAATGAGTATCATCTCGTTGTCTGTTTTAAACTCAAAGTTCAATCGGCGCAGAGAACGCCGTTGTAATAACATTATTATCTCTCCGCTCTCGTATTAAAAAATTATACCTATTGAGTGTATAGGTACTTACGAGACTTCTGGGAAATCTCAGGGCCGTCGCCGCCGCCGTGATTGTAATAAGCGCAGTTATTACTATTCACTATTCCGTCTATTCGTCAACGGTTTCGCTTAGGCAAAAAAATTATAATAATAATAATAATGATATTAATGATACTATACGACGTGTGCACCGCAGTATGAGGGTAGAACCTGGTGGTGGCTTTTTTTTTTTATCTCTAGAGCGTTTTATCGCGCCTTGCGTGGTGCCCTAGTTCACGGGGCTATGCAGTTTTCCCGACCGATTTAAACGGACGGTTACACGGGTCGGTATCGACGGGTTAATAAAAACGTTTTTCCTCGAGCGCAATGTCCCGACGCCATCTATACGGGTCCGCAGGAAGACGTCATAGCCGAGTAGTTACCCGGTCGGTCGGCCAGATGGTGTCGTTGTCGGAGTGGCCACCGCTGGATTATGCGTCAGGCACTCCGGACGGACTGCAGCAACACGTACAAGGCAAACGACATACAACGGGAAATATAAAAAATAAAAATAAATAATAATATATAAGGTATTATTCGAATGTCGAACACTCGAAACCCGTAAAATACCGGAACAACGTCCAGGCACTATGTCGTTCAATGTTTAACGACAGTTTTTAAGTGAACAAAATAAAATTCTGTCACTGTCGTCGTTATATTATTACGCATCCAGTAATAATATGATGGGTGGTGACATATTTTTGTTTAACGTGTTATTTCATTATTCATTTATTTTTATTTTGGTTGAAACGGTTGTAGAACAGTTTTGTGTTCTTATCTCGGAATCCTAAACTAATACATACGTAATTATTTCAATAATTTTTTTACAAAGTTTATAACACATCCGAATATTCGTTGAATTAAAATTATTAATTATTTATGTAAAACATAATATTTTAAAATGCTCATAATTCACTTGCAAATTAAAATATCGTAAAAAACCAACTAGAGAACACAGATAATGTTATTAATTAAAAGTTTGATTAGGTCAATTCACTCTAATATCAAAATTGACACCACCCTATTGAAACTAGCTAACAAAAATTTATCTATGTGTGTAAGACGGAGACAACACGTCTTAAGACTCGTATCAAAGCCCCTGGTCAATATACAGTTTTATAAATTAGACTTTCTACCATCGTTTTTATTATTAGGTATTATTATTTAAATTAATTTTACTGCGTTTTCTGAAATTACAAATAATTGATTAGCTTAAACATTTTTCATAAACGTTAGGTAGGTATTTAAGTATAATATGATTATATATTTATACGATTAGGATATTATTATTGTATAGAATGAATTTTGTAATGTAATGTATACACATAATACATATTTGATATTATAAGACTTCTTCAGTTATAGTCCATATGGGTATTATGGACTGTAGTAAACAATTTTTTCCATACTAATATTAATACATTTATGGTACAAAATCACAGTATTTATATTTTAATCGGAACTATAGTTTATACTTGAAATGTTAAAAATCCCATTGAAATAACTTTACAAACATTTTCATAATTGCATTTATATTTTATGATTATGTTTTCAATTACTAATTTTTCCTTTTTTTTTTTTGCCCACAGAATAGTTTCTTATTACTGAACAACATGGGTATTCATGTTCCTCCGATGACAACAAACATGTCAAATGAAACTGGCAGTGAATCAAATGCATGTAAAAGACGGTTATCCTCGTCATTAGAAAATGATCATATTCCTAAAATAGCTAGGCGTATGGTTAATAACGAGGATCTATTGCAAAATGAACATATTGTCGAGCAATTGGATACGGCGTCTCGACTAGACGACGATGATGCAACATCATCAATTGTTGCTGCTATAGCGGCCGTTACTGATGATTCAGATTGCAGTATTGACGATGATGATGACGATGAAGACGATGATGATGACGAAGATGACGACGACGATGATCAATACTTGCCCGCTGGTAGTTTGTCACTATCCTCGTCCAACAGTGGCAATATCACAAATTCAACAAATTCTTCTTCATTGTCGACACTATCGCCTTCCCAACAGCATCACAATCAGAACCATTGGAGGCAACATCACCAACAGCAGCAAACTATCAAATGTGACACTAACGGTAAGTGTTATTTGGATTTAGGTAGCGGTGGTAGCAGCACAACACTGACAACAACCATGGCTACAATACAACCACGAATCAACAGTGAACCGGAGTGCTGTGAGCTGGGACGTTGTGTACCTTCAACACAGTGTTACAGACGACGTAGAGCTGCGGTATTTGATGCATCAATGCGCAAATTAGGAAAATCAAGTGGTGGGTCTGGTAACAGCTCACAACAAAGTTGCGAAGCTGGACTCCGGAGGTCTGTGCTCATTTGCAACACGCTAAGATTGATTGAGCGTGAAATGACACGAGAAGCTGCTGCTGCAGCTCAACAGGCTCAACAACGACGTTGCTGCACTACGACAACATCCAATACGTCACAGCAATTGATCCAACAGCAACAAATTGATGTTTCACACCAACATAATAACCATAACAACAACAACAGACGATCTCCCACTCCATACCCCACGGAGTACAGAAATGGCCGACCAGAAATGATGGTGGAACATAACAGCAGTAGCAGCAGCAGCAGCAGCAGTAGTAGCAGCACATCAGATTCCATTGACTCAGGTGTTGACGACGAATACTACTACGACGAAGATGATGATGATGACGATCATCATCATAGACATACCACAGTGATGGCAAATAATCACCAAGATCTAAATAACCATCATCTCCAATATTACCAATTGAACGGAAGTATTGAAGATTGTGACAATTATATTCATTCAGATGATTATGACGAAGACGATGATGATGAAGATGACGAAGATGACACTAATAATTCCCCTTTAACGGAACTACAAATTTATGATAACAGTTTCAATAACAAAAGAAACACGGCAATGAGTATTGGTGATGATCATTGTGACGATAACATACTTCCATTAATAGGTAATAGTAACACAACGACAGTTACGTCTATCGATTGGGGTTCAGTTCTAAGTTTGTCATCGTCGAACAGCAACAATAATGGCAATAATTCACAGTCTACATCGTCAACTTCAATAACATTGATGAACAATATTGATAGCGATTGTGATGATATCACAACAATAATATCTACTGCAAATGTAGATCGCAAATCTCAACAGCATAAACGTAGAAGGCGACACTATAAACATCATTACCATCATAGTCAAATTCATACAAAACACAGACATCACCATTCCCATCACCATCAAAGGTCGCAAAAACGTCGAGAGCGTGGAATAACATCATCATTACCAATGTCAAAAAACAGGACATCAAATTATCAAGTTCTGTCGCAAGTAGGTCCTTGTAATAATGAATAAACTACCTACTTAATAATGGCAATAATACGCTCATTGGAAAGTTGCAACAAATTTTAAAAAGTATCAACACAGAGGTGTCTGGCTTTGATATTACAATGGCAAACTATATTTACCTAGATGTTTACACGTGTACCTGATAGATCACATATTATATAATTATTGAATGCCTACCTAAAAAGGTATGGATATGCAAAAAGCAACCAACAAGGATGGCTGTGTAATATTATAACCACCGGGCAGCTCAATTATTATTATTATTTTTTAATTTTAATGTAGGTTATGTTATATTTTATTATCTCTTATAGTATATATTTGTGCGGACGTATGTTTTTTTTCAAAATAAATTAATAACCAAACATTATTAAATTTTCCATCATAACACTTTCACAATAACAATTTAATGTTTTGCAATAAATATATATGAATGTGTTGATATTATGTCGTATAATATGTTAAGAGACTCTTGTTACCATTTTAAAAGTTTTATATATAATATAGTATATATATAAATTTTATATATATATTATTATTATTATTATTATTGCGTATCGTAATATTAGGTAATAAATTATATAATATTACAATCAATTGTTTTATAGAATAGGATCCACATTTCAGTTACAGATATAGTAAGGCCTCCCTCACACACACACACACACACAAAATAACAATTTATTATTAAATATTTTATAGCATGAATACATTTTAACCGTACACCTTTGATTTTATTAAAACTAAAATTATTCAATAGACAGTGTAATGTAAGAACATTATATTGTATTTGATGCGGCCTATTTTGTATTTGATAATTTTAGATACTAAATGTATCATTATATCCGTCCATAGATAATGAAACACAAGATAAAAAATATTAACTTACAATAATAAACAGCTGTATCTGAACAAAATTAATTTATCGTCCAAATAGTAACATGTTTTTTTTCAAGATCTCTTTATTTCTTATCCTTTTCAAACTTCTATTTGTATGTATGCAATCATTTTGTTTGGTTTTCTTAATAAGAATTAGGGTTTTGGTTAATACTATAAATTAAAAGTTGTGTTGTCTACAAATTCAATTATGTACTTATTAATAAAATTACATTGTAATTACAGTATTATTAATTTAATAATAATAAAATATATAAGTATGTTAAAAAAAGCAATAATAATAAGTAAATTAAATTAATTTTTACTCTGAATGCACTGATGATGTTTGTTAATAATAGTAAAATATTGTATTATATTATTAATATCGAAGAGCTGCTCAATGAATCAATATTAGCAACATTGTTTATGAAATTATGTAATTAAAAATATAAATTGTATAGATAAATAAGTTATAAGTATAAATATATATAAATGTGTATAGATATAAAAACCATAATGTTTATTTGATGAACAGAACATGTATAATGTATAATATATTATATGATATTGTTGTGGTAATTTAATTGTTTTACCATAATCAAAAGTCGAAAATTACAATTATTTTGTTAAAATAAATAAAGGATAGGTATATATGTGAATTTTGACTCTTAAATACATTATTTCTAATATTAAGTTACCTAAAATTCCTATTTAGGTATTACTTTGTTTATACATTTATAAAATAAATGTACAGGTTTTACAAATGAATAGTTCTTTAAAGTTAACAAGGTACACACCTAAGTAACCTATTCAGTAACTAAAACTAATGAATTGAAAATAGAAATGAAAAACATATTTTCATAATACATAATATTGCTGTATACAACTATAATTATATAGTCATGTATGTTTATTAATCATGAATATTTGCATATTTACACGATATTCAATCCAAGTCATTGCATCGAAATGTTTAAAATTCTAAAATAATTTAACCAAGTTTTTTTTTTACATATTAATAAATATTAAATAGTAACAATATGCAGATGTATTCCATATTGTGTGCTCCGGTATTCAGTGGTGTTATTACTCATTTGAGTTTCGCTAGGTGTAAGGCAGGGGAAAATAATGAGCAGCTCAATATTCGTATGGTAAAATCAACCATCTACAAAACGAATCGCTATTAGCTTGCATGGTCTCCTCTATTGTGGTTATGACTTGTCAATTAACTCGACTCTCGCCAGTCGACCTGTTTTCGACGGACGGTTCGTAATTTCGTATGTTAGTACTTAGAATACGTTTGTATAATACAGTTGGAAGTGGGTATTAGGTATATATGTATTTTAATACGTCTAGTTGATTAACTAGATAGGTAATCGTTCTCAGAAAAAAAAAACCAACCAGACATATTTAGTAGAGGTCCTCATAAAATATCTATAAATACAACTTAAGTAGTATTAACGCACAGGAATACATTATTATAATTATTATAAATAATAAATAATATTATACTATTATCTAATAAAAAAATACACTTTTGTATATCATTAGGTACCTATAGGTAGGTCGAAGGTGTAATTGAAAAACAAATTTGTCAAAGGAATTAAAACAAATTAGTTTATAAAATAAATATCTCAAATAAAAATAACAATTCAATTTAAAAAAAATGTTATCCATAGAAGAACGGATTAGGACGACACAACATCATAGTCAGTTAGGTAGGTAGGTACTAGGTTAGGTTACCACGAAAATATATTGATAGTCAAGTCATAAAACACTAAACTAAATGTCAGCTTTGAATTTTTCAATAGTTAATTTTTTTATTTTAATGATTATTTCATTTTTAGACGAATTTTTTTTTTTTAATTCAAATACAAATAGTATATACCTAAAACACACATAAATTAATACAATAAATAGCTCACTCTATAAACAAGTTCTAAGTTAAATTGGATTTGTGAAATAATTTAGGTTTTACGAGCGCAGTAATAATAATAACTAGTCTAAAAACTCACTACATACCATGGTATGGCCATCTGATTATTATTATTTATTACGATCTAGTAATAACAGTACGAATTATCGCGATTAGCACGTTTATGACACATTAAAAAAAACCAAAGGGTATTTTTTTAATTCTTTAATGTTAATTGTTTTAAACTGTTTCTGTATATAACTTTTAGAAATTGTTTCTAATCTTATAGTAATTACTAATTACTAATTCTTATTATTTGTTAAGTTACTAACTACAACACTTGATATTAGCAAGCAGGTACATACAATTTGTTTAGGCAGTGGTGTACCTACCTAACTGTGTAAGATTGTTTTATTTTAAGGAATACTTGATACAAGCTATTTACTAGTATTTAGTACTTAAGTAAGACCTTAAGAATTGCTGGAGGCAAATACGATCACACACTGTCAAAATAAAAAAGAATAATGATAGGTTTGCTCTTTAACCTGGACAGGTGGTATCATTGTAGTTTTTCGTATTTGTATAATAATAAGCACCCAGACTATTCAGCAGACTATTATTTTTTAAAGAAAAATTGTAGAATTTAAAAAAAATCTATTCAAAGTAATATTTATAATATATTATACATTGTGCATTGTATACCTATAATTATAGGTAGGTACCTAATACCTATGTATACATCATTATCCATTTAAATAATAATACATTCCGAAATAAATAAAAAATAATTACTACATAGTACTTATATAGGTTAGGTTGTATCAAAGCCCAAAAATGAACACTATTTTATATTTACAAATATAAAAATAATGGTCTCGACTTCTTGTTTAATTCCGAGCGACGTACACGGTACACCTATGAGGCAATATGGTCACCAAAATACGATCCGTCTAATATATTATATAATGCATTAGCCATTAGGTAATACTATTGATTTTGTAATATTTTAAAATCAATGATTAACACAATAACACCTATAGCTATTAATATTATGTATTACCTGTACACAATATTACAAATAAATAATAACAGTACCTACTAACAATATTACTGCATGAAAAATTATATTCTTTAGAAGTTTGTAATTAGAGTTGTGCAGTCATCAAATTCGATAATATCACGTAAAAATGATTGAAATGTATTTATAGGATTTCTAGACAATGACTATAGTATACCGGATATTGGAATTTGGAATTTTGTATTTTATTTTAACTAATCATTCAATATTCTTATTTTAACTGTCATTTTAGAATTTTTATAACACTACTAAAGTTGCACCTCTTGATTTTATTCCACACTTAAATTTATTAACATGCCACGCAAGTTTCAATAGTATGAACTCCAGTCGACCAAAATTTCAATTTTAATTTTAATATTTATTACGTTTACTGAATTAGTGATAGGTTAAGAGTGGTAATATGTTGGTCACAAATAATATTCGACCATTAGTTACATATTTACATATTCTATCAGAGCGTTAAGGAAATATTAGACAATTGCGAGTTCCAATATTTTGTACCTAGTTAATTTATTAATAATAAGTAATAACTTATAACTTCCAATTTAATGTGTTACTGTGTACCTGTCCTGTGTTACACTATACTCTGTTCAGTGAGAGAACGGGCTGATTCTGAGCAACCCTCTGTGTCGCCATGTTATAGAAATCGGTTCCCCTATGGCAGGGTGTTGCGCGGGGGAACTAGTTTTCGTCGGCACGCAGTGCGGTCTCTTACTGAACATAGTATAAGTTTATTTGGTGTATAATGTAGGTACCAAAATAATTATCTTAAACTACATTTAACCCTATTAATGTGTCATTACAATGTTTCTTAATAATTATTATAAATTTAATATAATCATTAATCATACTAGGTAATTGTATAATGACAATAATATGACATAGGTATGCCCAGATTAGTTATTACATTATATTACTATTGATTATAATTTGATTAATTGTCATTGTATTTTTGTTTTGTTGAACATTAAACTTTTTCATTAAAAAAATATTCTAACATCGTAATGCTTTAGTATAAGAACAACAATTTACAAATGTAAGCAACTAAAAAAAAATATGATTATGATAAAAACTTGGAATTGTTATTATTTTTAAAATTGTTCATATAAATATAAAATTCAATGATGAAATCAAAAATGT